CACACATATGCATACACTTGTGTACACATGTGCACAGAAACACGGATGCACAGACACACAAAGACACATCACCATGCTCATACACACAGACATACACAGCTGCATAGACACACAGACACATATGCATATACACACAGATGCACAGACACACCAGATGAATATACAGAGGTACACACAGACACATAGACATGCACACACAGACACATAAATATGCACACACAGATGCAAAGAAACATGTATACATACATGTACATATGCATGTACACAAACATGCAGGTGCATATGTAATTCTCATTAGCTGCATTATACACATACACACACATATTTAAGGAGTTGTTACAGGGATTTGGCAGTATGGGACTCTGGGGGCCGGTGGGGAAGTGTCTGTAGCCTGTTGTTTGCATAGCTAATGCTGAGCTGGAATCCATGGGGCAGCCAGTGGGGATACAACTTTCGTGGGGACAGCAAGAGCACATGGAGCCCCCAAGCATGAGCGGGAGACCACAAGACTGACTGTGGTGGTGTCCTTGTTGCCTCTGCTGTTTGTGTGGGTGCTGCAGAAGCCAGAGTTCCCTACCACAGAGCTAGACACACATACATACACGTGTACATGTGCACACGTGTGTATGCACACACCCACCTGGCCCAGAAGCCAGAGCCTCCCAGGAAGGCAGGAGGATCTGCAGCTGAGCGGCAGCCTCCAGCCACCTCCTCCCCGCCCCTGCGCCCACCCTATGGGAAACGCAGAAGATAGGGAACGTGACTACGAAGTTGAGCCTGGGCAGGTTGATACATTTCACAGCCACCACTGTGCACAAACAGAAGGTGGCTACTGTGTGAGAACTGGCCACTGTGTTGCAGAGAGGGTTGGGTTAGACAGATCAGGAAGGGCCTGGGTGCTTGACAGAGCATCTGGAGGTCCTCCCGGAGCTGTTCACAGGCTCCTAGAAGACTTTTAAGGCACCACTGAGATTTTTTAGAAACATATGTGTTTGGCAGTGTGGAGGAAGGAATGGAGGAGCAGGGGCTGGTGTAGGGAGAGGCCTGATGCTTAATGTGATGGTCAAGGTGAGACATTCAAAGGGCTGAATGCGGCTCCGACAGCGCAGATGGACTGGCCGGGCTGCCAGGTCCTCTTTGCAGATGAGCGGCCTTGGGCAAGTTACTGACGCTCCCTCTGCCTCTGTCACCTTGTTAAAAATGAGGAAAACGATAATATTTACACCTGAAGGTCACTGTGGGCATTAAAGGAGATGATCCATGCAAAGCGTCTTGGCAAGCAGCATTAGACAAATGCTACGCATTTTTGTTTGAACAGACATCAAGCTCCAAACCTTTTGTCTTAGTTGCAATCCTCCTTTCTTCCTCTCACAAAAAGCCACAGCGTTTGAGACTCTCGGCTCTTCCATCCGAACTGTATCAACCCTCAGAGAACAGCCTCACTGGTGGAGAAGGGAAAGCCAAAGTGAGAACTTTAAGTACTGGGGAAAGAGATCTGCTACTGTTTCAAAATACTCCGCCATCACCTGTCATCTGTGAGACGCTGAAGGATCCTAGGATGGCTTCTGTATTATCAAATGCATAGATTTTAATGTTTTGTATTTTAATTTGTTCACATTCATCTTCTATTAAACATCATACTGAATGAATATCAGTTCCTTAAGTAGCTCATATGATGGCAATTCACCAAGGTTTCCAGAAAGCAAAAAACTAATTTTGGAAGTATACATTACTAAAAATGTGGAAGTATTATTAGAACCCATTTATGTGAAATTTGCCATAGCATATCTTTTCCTTAGTTTGTTAAATGTTTGGGTATTTTGAAAGCCATAATATTTTTGCCCACTAAATTATTTTGTATGTCATGGATCTAGACATTTTGGGTAGATCAGTACAAAAACACTGAAGTGAATATGAGTATTTTTTTTTTCAAATGCAATAAATAAGGAGTTGTGCTGCCAATCAGAACACCTGGCTTCTGGTCCCACCAAGATGGAACACTGGCAAGTCCCATAACCCTCCTGGAATTTGCACAGATTTTTTCTGAGATCCTTTTCATCTATGTATTGCACAACTGAGTCAATTTTCAATGTGTACAATGTCAAGGAAAGAAAGTGTATTCAGACCATGCAACCTGTAAGCAGGGAGACTGGAGCCATTGCCCAGGTCTCTGTGTTATTAGGGAAGACAAGTTACTTATTCTATATAGGCCTCAGCTTTCCATACAAAAGAATGAGCATGATAGTCATGCACACTTCGTAGAGCTGTTGTGCTAGTAAATGCTAACTAATAAATGCTTACTGATGTTATTTTTCCTTCCCACCTAAGGAAAGATTAATTTTAGTGGTACCACTCACTCTTGAGAAGACTGAGTTTATGCTACCTGTGAGAGCAAAAAAGGAGAAAAATTAAGATAACAGTTTAAGGCACCCTGTAGTTTACAAAGATGCCTATACTAGTCTATAGCTTAGTCACAGGAGGAAAATGATTTGATTCTAATTGGCAAGTATTTTTCCATTTCTTATGTGATCTTTAGTTGGCTACATATTCCAAGATATGAGGTAAAATCCTAATTGTATAGCAAAATTGTGTAGTAAACTGTACTAACCTTCCTTAAACGAAGCTTTGGCATTTTGTCTGTTTGTCTTCCCATCTTCCTAATTTAGCTCATTCTTTTTGCAGACATTTCCTAGGTTCTGCATAGCCCTCCAGAACAACAACAACAATAAAAACTTTAGGTTTGGGAAGATACAGCATAGGTTTACAAGGGCTATAGGAAGCTCCAAAACCACGAAGCAAGTCCTCCGACAGCCCCAGCTGTGGGAAATTCCACCACCGAGAATGCAGTGCCGTGCGCTGGTGCATCTGAGCGTGGGCCGGTCCCTCCAAACACACGGACGTCGCGGCTGCAGTCTCAGCCCTCCTGTGGATCCCTCTACTCTCAGGTCCCTGAGAGTGCCAGCATTTTCAGGAATAGCAGAGGTAGGAGTGATATGAAAAGCTGATCTCCAGAGCAGCACAGACCCCAAAAGGACACAGTAGGGGGAAATTCCAGAAAGCAGGAGAGTTTGTGCAGGAGGGGGCTGTCAGCGTTTGAAGGACAGGGTTGGAGACAATCCTTCAAATGCTTGGGTTGGGTTGAATAATGTCCCCCACATTCACACTCACCTAGAACCTGTGAATATGACATTTTTGGAGATAGTCTTTGCAGGTGTAATAAAATGAAAACGAGATCCCACTGGATTCCAGTGGGCCCTACTCCAGTGTGAATGACGGCCTTACAAGGAGAGACGCAGTGTGGAGACGTGGGGTGCTTGCCATGGAAAGACGAGAAGGAAGGACACCAAATTCAAATTTTGAGCACTCCGACCCAAGGCTGGCATTGACTATTTCTGAACATTATGAATTTCCACAGGATCAGCACTAATCCTATCTATTCCAAACATTACAAGTTGTGGAACACATTTTTCCTTTATTGATGAGATATATTAGGATAATAATGTGGTGTGTTTTTCACATACACTATATTTTTAAGGATAATATTATTTAGCAGAGGAAAAAATATATGAAAACAGAAAATGCTCAAATAAATCACCCAGTTTTTGAAAAATAAATCATCACTCTTAACATGTTTTCCAGGTTGCAGCCATATCCCTTAGCTACACTTTCTCCAAAGCAATCTTGATAGGCATGTAAGGAATGAAAAAAAGTTATTTTGATTCTCCTGTCCCCGTGGTGATTCATGTTTCTTTGTAAACTGAAATGTTGAGAGTCAAATAGATTGTATCAGAAAGAACAAAGCGGTTAAAGAAACGGAGGAGATAGAAAGATCTTGAAAGGTCTGAGGGACTGTTTGTAATGGATGCTGTAGAGAGAACACTGCTTTTCTTTAGAAACGTTTCTTTCCTAACACAAAAGAAATAAGAAAAACAGTTTTCAGTGGCCTGCATGACAAGATATAATGTCCCATCACATCTATTAAGATCTCAGTGGTAATATGGGAGCATTGGCATTTAATAGAAACAGATTCTAGGTCAGGTGGTTTTTTAAAAATAGTTCTTTCCTTGCTTGGAAAGGAATGTGAGTTAGAGAGTAATCCATCAATCTTTTAGAGTGGTTTTAAACTTCTACCAGCCTGGAAAATTTCCCCCATACTTACCAGAAGTAAGACAATGACGTATCTGATGGCACTGAGCTTTAGTCATGAGTTTTATTTGGAAATGCTTTTCAAAGCTTTACTTACCCTGTCTCAATTCTTTAAAATAGGGCTCATTTTATTGCGTCTCTTGTTCTGAAGCGTATACCAATTTGTGTCTTGGATATGTGCAATTTTACTACAATTGACACAGATCTTTCTCTCACTTATTTACAGTGTGAAGAACACCATGCAGGAGTCTGTTCCTCCTTCCAAGCTTCCAGCATAGCCTAAGCCCAAGGCTGGTGGAAGTGTGAGAATCCAGGGCTTGTTGAAGAGCTGTCAGGTTGCCATTCAGATGAGCTGCTGCTTTGACAGACAGCAAAGGTGTGAGTCAATGAAATCTCAACACATTCAAATACTTTATTCTACCTTTATTTTAGCTTCTTAATTGCTTCAAGGGCCAGAATGCCAAAGGTAAAACTAAGTTAATAATAATGGTAGTAGTTAAAATAGATTGAGTTATTTTTTTTCTGACCTTAATTTTTAATAAATGTGAAATGGAGTTAATCACCTAGGTACCGTACTAACCACTTTATATACATAATCTTATTCACTCCTCAATAACTCCAATATCTAGGGACATTATTATTTCCATTTCGCAAAAAAGGAAACATAAGCTTAGAGAGTTTACATAAATTGTCCAGAGTCACACAGCTAGTAAACTGTGGAGCCAGGAATAAAATCCACACAGTTCATCTCTAGAGCAGAGAGTTATTTTTTAATAAGTAAGCTTGGAGTGGTAGGAACTGTCCTGGACCCTGTATTGTTCCGCTTTCCCTAATATGTGTGGAAGAAGAAAGAGACCGTGCCCAGGTGAGAAGAACTGAGCCACGCTTCTCACAATCAGCCCTCCAGTGCTAACCCGCTTGCCTGTCAGCCCCCCTCTTAGCCACAACCTTCCTGAAACTTCCCACTGTCCCATCATGGAAGGAAGAGAATAGAGATTTTTCCAGCTGTGACTGAGTTAGAGAGTTATGTTTACCAGGCCCCTGGATTTGTATTTCCTCATTGACCAAGGGGCAAAGAGGCTCTGAAAGACAGGTCAGCCTTGAAGTTAGGTTTTCTTTGACTCCTTCTTTTTTGGTATTCCCCTTTCTTGGGTGCAGAGGCATACGGAAATGTCTACTAGCTGGTAGATGAAGGAGACGAACACACAAATGGAAGAGAGGAGAAGCGTGGCTAGCCCCCATTGGAAGCATCATCTTGGCGCTGGCTAAGCCCCGGCTTTCCAGAAGGCACACTGCCCTATGTGCTCCTCTCCGCTGTCTGCAAGTCTTGCATTTCTCTTTGAACGCTGCCCCTCAATAAAGTGAGTCTCGGTATGAAAACAGTGTTTGCCTCTCCCTCCCTGCTTTACTGAGAATTTAAAAGAACATTACTCCCCAACACAACTTCTCAGTTGGCAAATACAGTGAAGTACATTTTCATCGTTTACTTCCTTTGGATTTTATCTATCAAATTTACTCTGTTAATACGCTAGGCAAAGCCTGTGCCTTGTTCTTATTTCTGTATGGTGCTTAGAAGACAGATCATACCTCACCTATGAAAATAATAAAGGCACACACGTGAGGAGATCATGAAGAGACACTGCCGAGGCTAACGCCGAGAGGAATTCTGAGAAAGAAATTCAGTTCTTGGCCCTTTCTTGTTCTTTGCACGTGTAAGGTGGGCGCTTGGGTTACCGATACGAGGAGGCACAGGGTTCTTTAGGATGACTGAATTTAGCTGCCCACACCCACCTGACTTCCCGGCTCGACTGAGGGTAAAGGAGACAGGACTGCTTTGGTTTCTGTGTTTACCCAGTTCTTCCTTGCAGACAGAGCATTGAAGTTCTGCCTTCGATTTAATGTGAGGGGATGATTTCTCCCAGCCCACCCTCATTGCAAGGTGAGAAAACAAGGGTTTTCAGTACTTTCAGACAACCTCCCCCAAGACCATCATATGCTGAAATGTTTCAGAGCCTAAGGAATTAGTAAGGAGTTCGCTGATGTTTGTTGGCTCATTGAAAACACAAACTAGATGTGCTACGTGTGCGTCAACCTGAAGGGCCTTCCAGGAGGCCAGATCTCCAGTGATATTAAACAGACTGTGCTAGCCCTGCATGTCATCACCGCCCAGCCTCATTCAGATGTAAACTGTCACTAGGAGTGGCAATTAGCCACACTTCAAGTTCTCTAGTTCTAGATGTCTACATGGTTTATTAAGCAGTTTTCTCCCCCAACTTAAATGTCCTGTATATGCCACACATTGGCAGGAATTTATCTGTGGTATCTTTATTTCCTCTTTTATTTGCCATCTTCCAAAAGGAATTTAAGCCCACCTACAAAAATATAAGCAATGCAACAAAGTGACAGGAAAGAAGCGGGTGAGGAAATTCTAGGGAAGAAAAGCTAGGGCGAGTAAAGTTAGTAAGAGCGTAAAGGAAGTGTGGTTGCCTGCCCGGAGTCTGTGCCTTTCGGGGTTGGCCACAAATATGGCCGTGAGCGCGGTGGCTGCCACTCCAAAGAAAGGAATGCCCCCACGTACATGACTCACTGTGCTTTTCAAAAAGAAATCTTTGCTTGTGAGAAGCATAATCATCTCTGCTGCAACGAGTGAGAACTGTTTTTCATGCATGCACAGAAAGAAGACGCTATGCAGTACGAAGCTCAGTCGCTTCCTAACATCACACCCACAGCGTGTTCACGGGGCACATTTCTTAGAGCGTTCTTTCTGGCAAGATGGCTTTCCACATCCTCACGAGGAGCATCTGAGCAGGAAGAGCAGATGGATCACCGTGGCCTAACAGCAAGAAGACACGTGTCATAGATGCTGCTATTACCTGCCTAAGGAAATGCCCTGAATCTCACGCTGTGATGAGTGCTACCTGAAGACAGAACATCAACACGTCATTCAGTTAAAGCAATTCTACAGAGGCAGAAAAAGTGTGAGTCTCTGCTGGTCCAGTTAGTCCAGAAGTAGATTTTAAAGTACCAAAAAGTTTGGATGGCATGTCTTTCAGTCCAGCCTTTTGGTGAGCCCGTAGCAGCAACGAGTTTGAAGTTATGCTTCTTGGGCAATATGTGATTACTGTGTGTGGCTGATAAGGGCGCAGATGCTTGCTTTACTAGTCGGCCTCACTGGGAGGAGAATTAGGATGCTCTTAAAGCAGTCCAGGAGCCTGATGAAAACATGTGCATGGCAAGATGACTCTGCATCCCCATGAGGAGCTTCTGAGCAAGTAGACCAGATGGACTACCTTGGCCTAATGGAGAGAAGGCACTTATGTCATCGATGCTGATACTATCCACCTGAGGAAATGCATGGGGTTTCATCCTGCTCGAATAGCGTCATGAAGGGGCAAAGATTTATCACTCCTCTGGAGATGCATCACCACAAGAAGGATTCAGCACTGATTCTAGAATGGAGTTGCTCAAAGACATTCTGCTTTATTTACCTAGCGCTGCATGTGTGCATGCCTTCGAATTTGGTGACACCTTCTAGTCTTTGCTGAGGGTTTCCTGAACATCTTACCAGCATCAAGTAGGAATTAGACCTGTCATTAAGTGACAAGTCTGCACCAGCAATGATGAGGTGAAAAGACTGCAGCTGAAGTGAGCATGGAGGTGAGCACACACGGGAAGGCCTTTCCTGGTGAGACAGTCAGAGGCCACCCGATGTACACAGCCTCAGGACCAGGGATACAGAGGGGCTGGACCCATCAGAGCCAAACAACTGTTACACAATTTTATCACATAGCGAATGAGACAAGGAGAGCCAGTTAAAATGCACTGTGGCTTCTTAGGGGTGATTTGAAACTGGAAATCAAAGGCCTGCCAGCCCCCATGGGCTGGTAGATGTGGTCATTTTAGCCACAAACATAGAGGTGTTACACACACACACGTGCGCACACGCGCGCGCGCACGTGCACACACACACACACACATTAGTAATGGGATGCACCGTGCCAGGAGAACGCTCAGTGCCAGGAGGCAAGATTCCACTCACTTCACCATGATCTCACCATGTAATTTTAAATAAATGCATTAACATCTTTGTGTTTTAGATGACTTGTCGTGAAAATAAGTAACATTGAGTTAGGCAATTTCTGAGAAATCTTAGAACTCAATGAGCTTTTGCAGATGGGCACAAAATCTTTCACTTGAAGTGATATTTTTTTTTCCTAAAATAAGAAGTCAAAACCAGGAAATATTTCACCTGATAACAAACACAACTGGTAGAGTCATATCTCAAAGGGTAGTCATTTACAAGACAAATAGGTAATATCTGATGACAGTTTTATAACTTAATGTTGTTACAGCAAAAATAAAGTGTGTTTTTGCCTTTTTAAAATCATTTTTTAAAATTCACACGATTCTCATTAATAAGTTCCAAAGTATCTTACTGTAGTGAACCTACCTTACTATGCTATCTCATTGAAGGAGTAGGAAAATATCACCAATTTACTGCAATAAGGTAATTACTGTAATAAGATAAATGTTAACTTTTTAATGAAAACCACTGTCCTTGAGTAATTGCTCTTCCGAGGACTGCTCCATATATGATTTCTTTGCAATTATTGAGATTAATTCACTTTTTTACTAGGAATGGACCAAAATACTAAGCCAAATGATCATTTTTATAAGCACATTTTCCAGTGTCCTAGAACTTAAGGAGAGAGAGAGAGAAATGGTTTTAAGTCTTGTTTTCAAATCTATTTTATTAAGTCACAAGCTGTCAAGTTTCTAGGTTCAGTTAAATGCAAATAAAAGCAACAAAAGTCTACTAAAAATAGGTAAGATTAAAAATAGGCGTGTCCATTGACCATCAGCTACAGAGCAGCAAAGTGAAGATTTAACTAGCACTTCCCTTGTTCACAAGTCCACTGGCTTTTCATGAATGACTCATTTCATGAGCATCCTAAATGCACAGATGGGTGACAGCATTACACCTTCAGCGTGCCTGTGGATTCAGGATGCCTCCAGGACGCTATTCAAGGAGGATTATAGCTAGATCAGCTTAACATTAACAGCAGCACTGTTAATGAAATAGCGGAATCCAACCAAAGCCAGACCTGAGAGCAGACGTTTTCCTTCTGCTCATGTCCACATTTGTTTTGATTATTAGTTTTCTCAGCCTGGTATCATGTATTTGAGAGTCCGAGAAGCAAACAAACAAAAAACGCTGGTCTGTCTCCCCAATGTTCCTTCCTGGCTCCCTGACATCACTTCTGTTTTTAACCAGCAAAGGAGCCTAGGAGAGAATGGTGGGCCTTTCTTGTTTCATCAGCTTTGTGGGCTGAAGCATTGCTTTCTGGAAAGCATCACAGCATTGTACGAGTTAATTCCCAGTGGGATTTGCTATGGGTCTCACAGACCCCAGCAAACACAAGGCCCAGAGGAACATGCCCTTACAGGCCCTTATCCCAACACCTCCCTGGCACTGACTCGTCTCCATTTTCAGAGTGACTCAGAAAAATACAAGTGAAGAACTGTTCAGTAACTCTCATCTACCTTGTCTGTTATCTATCCATCATCTTTCCATTGATTGTGCTATTTTAATTTTTCTCATATTTAAAAAGAGCAGGAAGTTCTTGGATGGGTGAGGTGGGCAGAGAGCACTTTAGGTCAGGAGTTTGAGATTAGCCTGGCCAACATGGTGAAACCCTACTAAAAATACAAAACTTAGGCATGGTGGTGCATGCCTGTAATTCCAGCTACTCAGGAGGCTGAGGCATGAAAATTACTTGAACCCAGGAGGTGAAGGTTGCAGTGAGCCAAGATCGTGTCACTGCACTCTGGCCTGGGTGATAGAGTGAGTGAGACTCCATCTCAAAATATATAAATAAACTAATTAAATTAAATTAAATTAAATTTAAATTTAAATTTAAAAAGCAAGAAGACAAATCTATTCTTTATCTATTGAGTCTGTTCTATTTCCACCACTTTCTGCCAATTAGAATGAAAGCATCCAATACCCTGCTAACGTCTTTCTGCATCTTGATTGATTGTCCCATAGCCCCATCCAGAAAGAAGTGGATTTAGAGAGAGTATGGTGTAGAGAAAAGCTAAGGCCAATTACCCTGGTAACAGCACACAAGCTGTGCTGAGAGCTCAGTGGAGAGGAGGAGACCAGTGTGGTGTGGGCAGGAAGGCAGAGGTGGAGGCAGACCACTCTACAACATGCTGCTGTCTGATCTGAGCCAAAAACCGGACTCCACTGTGCGTCAATTTCCTCATTAATCAAATGGGGAACATAGGGCACATTTCGTGGGGTTCCTGTGAACGGCACCTGGCTTATTGTAAGCACGATGTAAGTACTAGCTATTCTTGTAACAACGTTAAAAAGT